TCTGACATACTTTGGACATGTTGCCAGGAGTGACGGGTCCTTGGAAAGGAACATCATGCTTGGGAGGGTGGAGGGACAGCGCAGAAGGGGAAGACCCTCTATGAGATGGATTGATTCGGTGACTGGGGTAATCGGGATGGGTGTGTCAGAGGCAGTGCGGTTGGCGCAGGATCGAGCAGGGTTTAGAGCTGTTGTGCATAGGGTCGCTATGAGTCGGAAACGACTCGATGGCACATAACAACAACAGCAACAACAACCATAGGAGAAAGATGGGCAATCTTCTCCTGCGCTACTGACAGCCTTCAAAAAACCACTGGAGTGTCAGCTATGAGTTGGTTCCAACTAGATAGCAATGAATTATAGTTTTTCCCAACTACAGATTAAAAAATATCAAATCTGTAATCTGACCTATAAAAACCAAACTCACTACCCTCAAGTCAGTTCCTGGTCAGCGAAACCTGCCGTCAAGTTTCTTAGGCTGTCAGTCTTTGAAAGGAAACTGCCCTTTTATCTCTCCAGAAAGCAGCTCAGGGATTTGAACCGCAGACCTTCTAGTTAGCAGCTCAACCCATAACACCACACTACATACCATAGAGTAGAATAAAAAAATAAAAGTAAAAGTAAATTTCCCTTACTCTCTTCATTCAAAATAATCCTGAGAATAGCCCATGGAATAACAGCGTATGCAAAACATCCCATAGTGCAAATCATATGGCAAAACCCAAATAATAGATTTTTATTGTAGTGTCAACTATTTAGTTCTTGCCTCTACTTCCAAAATATCAGGCCTTTGAAACCCTATGTACAACAGAACACACACAGTTGACTAGCAGTCAACTAGTTGACTAGTTGACTAGGCAACTGAGGCTGAGCCATCAAATATGGAAATGTAAAGGAGGAACCGTCTTAAGTAGACACTAGTGACTGGAACATGGAATGTGAGAAGCATGAACATAGTAAAACTGGACATGGTGAAGAAAGAAATAGAACACATAAATAATGACATACAGGTACTGGTGAAATGGGATATCTTGAAACAGGACATTTTGAATCAGACAATCATATGATCTACTGTGCCAGAGAGGAAAAGATGAGGAAAAATAGGGTTGCTTTCTTTTCTTTTCTAATTTAGTTTGTTTGTTTTTCATTTCAATGATCATCTACAGAGATTTTGGAATTCCATTAATTCATTGTTGCACCCTTCTCCCCGCAACACCCCCCCCGTCGCTCCTCTCCTTGAAAAGCAAAAGAAAAACTCCCTCATTAGTAACAATCCCCCCCCCCGCACCTCCCCAAAACCCACCCCCTATAGCTGTGGTATATTCGCACAATGGAATACTATGCTGCATTGAAAAACAAGGAACACATGCAATATTATTCAAAATGGGTGACCCTGGAGGACATTATGGTGAGTGAGGTTTCTCAGTCACAAAGGGACAAATGCTATATGGTGCCACTATTGTAGAATGAGGCTGGCATTTGGGTGGGGGTAAAACTGAGAAAAATAGGGTTGCTTTCACAGTTTAAAAAGCCATTTCCGGCGCACGGGTCGCAGTGCTCCTGCGCGGTGGGGCGGGGCCAGGAGACACTAGGAGCTTGGCCTTCACGCTCAAGGATCCAGTTCGGCCCTTGCGCTTTCTCAGAGTGCTCTGCGCTGTGAAGAAGCAGCTCCTGGAGACTCTGGGCGTTTTGTGTTGGTTGGAGCCACACGACCAAGATGGCAGCGATGGCGGAGTGACAGGCTTCCTCAGGGTGGAAACCGACAGCAGTGGTGGAAGCAGTAGTGCCGCCCTCACACAACGCGCCTTTTCCATCCCGCGACGAGTCGCCGTGAAAGCAAAGCAGAGTCAGCGGTTCAGAAGTAAGTGGCCCTGTCTATTATACTGCGACAACCACCCCAGAAGCTGCGGCCTGGCAGAAAAAGAACCCTGACTTGAGTGGCAGTGGTCAGGTGGTCCTGGGCCGACTGTGTGCCCTGTGACGCCGCCGAAGGGCCTTTGGGTCTGGGGGGTGTTTGGGGGTGTTTT